AAAACAAGCTTTAAATGGTCCACTCAGCACCTTTTTCTGAAAAAGTATGATTTTAATTGTAAAGAAAAAAAAAACATTAACGTATTAATACGGTAATTGGTTCAGTATTTATTCCTTTTCTAAATGGTGTGTGATAATGTCCTTTGAGGTGTTATCCTTTGTGTCCATGTTTATAAAATTATTTAAAAGCCTTGCAAAGCTATGTCACATGGCTTTTTTTAACACAATTTATTTTACTTTAGCAACTGATCAATTTTTTAAAAACAGTATCTATATTGAGTCTTTCTTTATTATAAAACTAAATACAAAAATGGTATACTCTGACCTTTTTTAATCCTGCACTTAAAACTAGTCCTGGGTTATATTTAATCCTTCTAAAATGAGCTTTTGTTTTAATCATCCCATTTCGGTGAGAATCTTAATTTAAAGGGCCATGAAAAAAACTGCTTGTAAAACAATATTTCACAACAAATTATTAAAATTTAGCAAACTAAATGTTTGCAGGTAGTGGTATTATACAGTCGGCTTGCTTAGTGGTTTTAAGTACACATCTAAGAACAACAATGGACAGATGTCACCCTGAGCTATGGAAGTCCAAGAAGAGCATTGGTGTCAAAAAAAAGATGTCTTGATTTTTCAAAAAGTGAAATCATTTTCATGATTTTTATCGATAAATCACCCAGCCATATCTTAAACTAAATTAAAGTATTAAAAAAAATTCAAGCTAGTACCACAACAAATGAAAACTTAACTAAAAGCAGGGATTATTAAAATGATAAAAACAAACCCACTCTAAAAATTAATTACAAGTAACCGAATTAGAGAATTAAAACATTACAACACAGTAAAATTAAACAATTCAAAATTCAAATAGTTATAGCCTATGTAATAATGATCTACTCACTTCTGCATGCTAAATGCTTGAGCTGTCTATTTAAAATACAGCTATTATTCATTTCACCTCTGGAGGGCGCTCACTGAGCAAATGATCAGCTAAGAATTATAGATTGGGACAGGGTTGTCTCACTTGAACATTGTGTGCTTTAGGAATTATATTATTTACAGCCTTGTAATTTCACGTATTGTCCAGTGCTTTTCATTCTAACCAATGCTTTCATTCGTTGCTCTCACAATAAGTCCTAGTTTAAAAGAAATATTCATGTTCTCCTTTTTTTCCCCAAACAGGTGATACTTACATCCCTTTATATCAGGGAAAAGTCATTGACATGCTCAGTGAACGACAGCTGCAAAGTGACTTTGGTTACACAGTCGGACATCTAGTGCTCATCTATTCTGGAAGGTACTAAAGTGTACTATTTAATTTGAAAAAAGTAGCATACAGTTAATGCCAATCGGATCATTAAGTGGTTTGAAACTGACGTGTCCCCTTGTCCTAACAGCGCCCTGTTCTCTGGCATGAGAGGAGGTCTTTTCATGATTTCTTTGGCCAGACTGAACAAGAGACTGAAACATCTGCTCTTTCACAACCTCCTGAAGCAGGAGGTGCACTTCTTTGAGGAGAACAACCCAGGTTGGACATTCTGAAGGTTATGGAAATGTACAAGCATCTTTGAAGTTGTTCCGGTGCTTTTCAGAGTTATAAACTGTTATTTCATCTATAGATTATAAAATATGCTTCATTTTTCTATAAGTTACAATTGTAATACTGATAAATTATGGATAGAGAAACCTGTAAAGATGAATAAATGGTGGATGAATACAACAAATTCCTAATAACGGCAGCTTTTGCATTTCTTTTTTCTTGTTTTTACGCTGTCACCATCCAGGACGACTTTCCTCCCGCCTGCACAGTGATGTGGACAGGATGGGGCGAACCGTAGCGCTGAATGCTAACGCAGTGGTTCGCAGTACGTTCAAAACTGTCCTCATGCTCAGAGTGATGTTGGGCCTGTCCTGGGAGCTGACTTTGCTCACCTGCATAGAGATGCCTCTCTTGGCCACATTGCAGAATAAATACATCAACTTGTCCAAGGTGGGTTTTTTTTTTTTATTTACCATACAACAGATTAACATTATCCCATTACAGCGTAGTAAGATTTAAATTCATTTGCCAATCAAACCTTGGATGTTTATGTCTGTCTATTCGATTATTTTTTTTTATCCTGCACACCCGCAATTGTAGTATAAATAGAAATGTTGTAAACCAGGCATAGATCTTCATCAGTGACTTTTGAGCTACGTTTAGACTTGAAAAGAGATCCTTTGGTGACATTTGTCACCAGCATTAATGATTATTTCATGTTTTTTTTCGATAAAATATTTTCAATGTCTAAGGTATGCTTCTATTTTAATATTGCTTTTCATCACATTCATTTATAGAAAAAAAAAAGAAAATATATGATTTATAGACAAAGAGGAAATTTCCAAGATGCCCACCTCTGCAGGTTTTCTTTAAAGGAGAATTCCGGTTTTTTACACTTTAAGCCCATTTTCTGTAGTGTCCCGGATGAAATCGAATGATCGACACCAAAATTTTGATAATTGGTCCTGTCTCTGCTTTTTGGCTCATTTAGAATCCCCCCCTGGCTGCTT